GTCTGTCTGTCTGTCTGTCTGTCTGTCTGTCTGTCTGTCTTTCTTTCTATCTATCCGTGTCCGTCTATCGGTCTCCCTCTCTGTCTGCCTAATGGTAACATGTATGCAATAGCTGCAATAGTCCGTTTGGATTTTTTTTCGAGTGAACATTTATAAACAAATTTTCCTCACGTCTAAAGTATTTGATGTTGTTGATCGGTTCCTTGGAATCCATTCTACGCCGTAGGACATTCGACCAATACTTTTGTTGGATTTTCTGTCCTCTTTCCCTACTGGTGCGATACGGTCTACGTTGAGTTCGGTTAAATACACCAAGCAGAACGTCGTCGTTCTGATAAAAGAATCTCATAGAAGGAATTCGTTGTTTATATAGCGAATGAATTGTGAACTGAAAAGCTTGGAATCATTGAACAACTGTTTCGACCTGGTCGGGTCTCATCCGTGCAGTGCACGAATATATCGACCCAACGAGGGATCGAACCCGGGACCTCACAGGCAGAACGCAAGCATGCTATCCACTCGGCTACTGGTGGACAGCTGCTCAGACACTCTTCACATCTCACTGCGTTGTTATCTATCTGCAAACAGACGCACACGTTTTATCTGAGGGACGGGAATAGGTGAGTGGCCGAGATCGGTTTTAAAGCGATTCGGCTAACAATCACCTTGTTCGGCACTTGCACACGCATTTTGTATTTGCACCAGACTAAAAGGGCATACATGCCCTTTTGACATGAGGAAACTGAAACACGACAATGATGATGTAATTAATAGCCTCCGGAGAATCGCTCCATTCCGTCTGAGGTGATATCAACCAAACCAAGCCAAACCAGGCACACGCACAATTCAGCCCAGCGATTATGTTCTAATACCCAGCCTGTGAAACTGGGTGATTAAATAGGTGTTCCTGGGCCTGTATTCATCCGAGCGCAAGCGCATATCTATGGCGGCTGCCCCCCCCCCTATCACCTTTACGTGCACAATGATCGCATTTCCATAAACGCACTGTGAAGATGGAAATCCTGTTCAGTGATGCAGTTTGAAACCGCACTACCATAGGTTGCCAATAGATCCGGTGTGTTGCTGTATATCGGTCAGCTCGGTGTAAAATGGGTTTGGATAGATGAACAAGTAGACGAACACACAGGCAGACAGACAGAGAGAAGGACGGATGAACAGATAGACAGATAGACAAACAGACGGAAAGGCAGATATGAGGGCACAAAATACGGGCCCACACATCAGCCCAACAAACATTGCCCCCACCGTGTATGCACACCTCTTACTCCGGCAAAATAATTTCCCACATATTGTGCACCCAATACGGCACAACAGTCACTGTGCCTCTCCAATCCCTTTTTCGATTCACGTGTTCTGCACTCATTCACAGTAGTCATCGTAGTCATTCGCGATGCAAACAAGTGCCAATGAACTGACTGATCGGGATATCTGGTTTGGATTGTCGGAACTAACTCCCCTGATAAATCATAGCACAGTCAACTGAGTCAGTGTTAGACAATGGAACGTTTTTATCCCAACTTTTACTCGTACACCAAATCGCATTATGAACCACTGACTGCACAAAGCCTCTGTCGTTCGGAGTCCGTTGCTACCGGTCTGAGTCAGCGACCCGTGCAGCCGGTCGCAGTTAATGATGATGATGATGCTCAGCCGGGCCGATCTCGTCTCGGGTGTTCCAGCACCGATCATATGCATCGAGTCGGTGTGCATGTGTCGGGATTGTGCGAACCGTTTGTTACACGAAAACGAATGCTCAGTGGTGAGTGTCACAACAGCGGGAATTTTTCTGGGCACAGTGATATCCGGGCCGATGGGCGATTCACCAATGCGGACAGTAGTGCTTCTTGTGTGAATTTGCACGCGGAACGTTGGATGCGTGAGCAGTCAGACCCGCCCGGACCCTCCGGATCTTCCGCTGTCGATAATTTGGCGATACCGAGTTCTCTAAACCCAACGGAACTAGTAACATGGTCATCCTCATCTCAGTCGGAAAAGCTGCGATCCACGGGAACGGGGAAATCGAACATGTTAGTAATTCCTCGCTCGGTGCCGTTGTATCCAACACGTGCAGACTGTGCATTAGGTCGTAGACCAGTGATGGACGACCAAAATGTATCGGTCGACAAAACGCGACAACCCATGCGTCAAGTTTCCTTCCGACAAGATAAACATTGTTCATCTCCCATCTCTTCCAATTGTTCTACACTAAAACCAACCAAGCAGGATCCTCCTGGTCGACCGCTTGCTCAAGTTCGACCACAGGGACAGTTCAATGTGGAAGAGACGAAAGAGGATCCGCGTGTACAATCATGTGTGAGTGGAAAACTGATGAAATCCGGTCTCCTCAAACCCAAAGGGAATGAAAAATCTCGAAGATTTGGCCTGAAACTGGAAAAACCGGTGCGAAAAAATCAATCTGGTAAGAGCACCAGGTCCCCATCTCCTTGTGTGACTAACAAGCTGCCCGCAGCACAACGTGTGTGCGAAAAGGAGATAGCCTGTGGAACGAGACATGCCCCATTGGGAATACCGGCGGCTACCGGTCATATGAAACGTTTGATCGAAACAGAACGGGCGGTACGCGAAGAACTGGCTTCCGGAAAAATGCGTGGTATTTCACCCATTTCCCCGTCCGTTTTGGACAGTATTGTTCCAACTAATCTAACCCCAAGGAATTCACCGGCCCCTTCATCAACCTCTTGTTCCGGCCCCTGCTGTAAGCTCAATTTGGTTACAAACCCGAAGGAAACACCTCAGATCTCAGCATCGTGTGCTTTTGTACGACCGAGACGACGTCATGATCATGATGTGGGTTGTTCGAACAGCTTACATCGCACGCACACCTGTACCACCAGTAGCACGAAGACCAACCCTTCGGCACTTACCTCCAACTCCACACCGTGTGCAATTGTACATCCGTTGCGAGTACCTGCATCCGCGATTGGGTATCAGTCTGTCGGTGGTCCGGGTTGCACTAGACCGTCAAACTCAATACCAATGCAGAAAAGCAGCAGTTCCAGCGATTTTGGGGACTTGAAACCATGCCCCATTCTCACTGTCAGTCTGTGTGAGACACTGACTCCATGCGGTAAGGTAAGGAAAAGTGAGGATCGTGTTTCAGTGAATCAAAGGCCATTGCGTTCTGTCCAATGAACCGTTGTTGTTGTTGATGGTGTTATTGTTGTGTTTGCTTGTTCTCCCCAAGCCTATGTTCATCAAGGACTATACCCTTTCCGATTTCAAATGTCCGAATACCAATTTAAGATATCATGTTGCTATGAATGGCACGACAGTGTGATGGCTGAATCGTTTCACATGATCGTGTACTTTTCAGGATGATCTTGGTATCATGTGTAGTTCATCCGTGTGGTGATGGTCCTCGTGCTGTACTGTACAGTCAAGGTTCATTTGATTTGCTAAAGACTGTAGACTGGCTGTAGACAAATGTGATTTTTCGCTCGGGTTATCCGGGCCGACATGGGAGAAGGATAAGTTCTGAATCCGACACTGTTTAAGTGTTGGTAGAGAATCACCTCAGAGGAATCAGTTGTGGAACGATGCGCCATAAAGGGAAATTCGGAATGGAAGACAATCAAGCGATCATGACACCGGGTCAGCGTTTGACTCGTCCAAAATACACACATCCTGCTGCTTGTATAGCAAAATACGGCAAAGATAGTTTTCTTCCATCTTTAGAATGGTAACAGTTGAAATACTTTAGCACTGTTTTAGCTCCTCGATCATTATCGGTTTTCGGCTTCGGGAAAACATATTGAACAACTTTTATATAATAAATATATATTTTTTCATAAAATTTGTTCTCTCCTCCAGAATTCTATCTTCCACGTAGATGATCTCAAGATCGTTCAACGCTAAATTAACCAGTTGGTAAAATTCCTAGAAGAGTTTTCCGTTGACCTAAATTGGTGGATATTGTAGTCCGTATTTAGAACAAGTTCAAAGTTTTATTATGACCATCCGTTTACCGAGCCCACTTAGTAAAACAGTGTGTGTATTCCGGACGAGTCAAACGCTGACCCGGTGTCATGATCGCTTGATTGTCTTCCATTCCGAATTTCCCTTTATGGCGCATCGTTCCACAACTGATTCCTCTGA